AACAAAGCCTCCTAGATTAGAAGCAGAAGTGAGCAGAGAGAAGAGCAGAACGCAAACTACGTGGCCCCATCCAGCGAGCAGCGTCCTGCACTTCTTGTGCTTGGATGCCGAGTTGTTGTTTAAGGAAAGAACGACCTGCTGATTCTTCTTGAATTCAGTGAGGCTGTTCTGTGAGAGTACCAGAGAGCTCCTTTTACTAATAGAGAAAATACAAATAGATAAAAGCCTGGCGCATTCCCACAGTTCTCCTTTTGCTGCAGGATTCCAACTGTCCAGCATCCTGACTGTATCTCCAGTCATAGAGGCCATTCCTGCAAGTAAAAAGTAGCTTATTCAACAGCCACGTGCATGCACATTCATTCCTCTGCTCAGCTGGATACCCACCAAATTGTGCACACATCAAATCTGTCAGCACCACTGGCCATATTACTCAGCACCATGCAACTCTCCTCCATCTCCTGTTCTCTTCCTTTTTGGCAGCACAGAGCTCCCAGTCATCTCCAGCTCCCTTCCTTCTGTCAGCAAAGAACACTGTGTAGCAAGACCGAGGGCCGCAGAGCCATCCACCCTCCATGTTTTGGGTGCTAGAAGAAGCCCTCTGGGATGAAAACATCCACTGCATGCATGCACCTACATTCCTTAGAGCCTTGGGTTTTGTTGTGGATCTGGGAAGATGCAGGTTGGATATGCTAGGAAAAAATATCTTCTCAGAAGGAGTGGTGGTGCAGGTGGAGGAGGTACCATCCCTGGAGGTGCCCCAGAACCACAGGGATGTGGTGGGTTGATGTTGGAGATCTCAGAAGTCTTTTCCAACGTGAATGATTCTTTGATTTTATGATTCTTCCATGGAACAGCAAGGAAACAGCTCCCCAGCAGCTCTCCATTGGAAGTGTTGGCCTTCTTCATGCCAGAATGACCACTCATAGCCTCAATTCAATGGGAATTAGTTGAATTATTAGACAGTTCATGCTAATTTTCTTCATACAAACAAGCTTGATTCATTAGCTGTTCACAGCGCCCATGTTGCCGTATAGCCTACATTTTTCCTTCTTAAAACATAGATATAATTGTATTTGATTCTTATTGCTGCCACTTCTCTTTTTCATAAGACATTAAACAAATAAAATGAACCATTTTTAATAGAGCAGTGCATTTGAAACTTAAACAGGGGGCAAACAGCAGCTCTCTGAAGCTCACAGCAGGAGCGCCACCCTTCTGCTTTGGCTCTGGGGGTGGGTGACACCACGTCTGCGTTGTGCAGATCTTGACTCAACCTCTCTCTTCTTCAGCAAGTGCTCTCAAGAGAAAAAGAAACCCTTCTGTCCTTTCTTTTTCTCCCCCATTTTTTATTTACATTTTTCCCATTCTGAAGCTTTTCTGAGCCCAATTGCTTTTCCTACCGTCCCATTCTCAGACTTTCCAAGTTCGAAGAAATTCTTTATTTGGTGGTTTACTGGAAAAGCTGTTCACATCTATAAACAGAGCTTACTCTTCCTGATTTTATCTTTCTCCTTTTTATTGTTTCCGGTTGTTATTCATTTCAGCTGACACTTCCACAGGGACTTTCCAAAGAAGAAAATCTAAAGCGATACAAAAGTGCATCTGAACAACATCCAGGAAGAAAAGTAGGATCTGATGATAAATGCAGTGCACGACTACCTATTACTGGAAGAGCCAAAACATTCAGGAAGAAATTCAGGTTGGACACAATGGGAGGCAAGTCCACCCCAAGAATGGTCCACTACTGTGCTTGGGCAATGTAACATCAGAATAAGATGCAGGGAGAAAAGCATCAACCCTAGCAATGTTTAAAGACCCTACAAAGAGCTCACAAGACCAGAAGTTTACCTGCTTCTCCCCCAAGCCAAATCAGTTGGCTTATTACAAACTATTTATCCATCTCACACATGCTTTTTCACTCAGCCCCCTCGTAGGGCACTTCCACACTCTCTCATTATCATAATTTTAAGAAGGAGTCTAGATGCACACCTAGAACTCAGTCAGCTCCAACAGCATTGTGTGGGGGAAAGGAAATGCACTCAGTCAGCTTGGAAACTCATAAGCACACTCCAGTTTTGAATCCCTTGGCCAGACTCTGCAGACTCAGTTACAACTTCCCCAGCAGTTCTGCATCCCCGCCCCCACTTCTTGATTCCTTATTTAAAGAAAATCCATTTGATTTCTGTAACCTGATGAAGGAGTGGAAGGATGAGATGAGGATTACCCATGAGCACCCCAACAGCAGCACACAAACCATCAACACCATTTCCCCCCCCCCTTCATCTCTTGGAAACTGCTCTCATCATTCCCCCCTCCCCTCACTCAGTGCAACAAATAATTGCATGGAGAGGAAAGCATCCAGAGGAACAGCATTCCCTTCTGCAAAGGTTTGGTATCACTGAACCTACCCAAGAGATGAATAGACATGGCTTGGAAAGCTGGAGAGGTCTCATTGTGCTTAACAATTGCCCATGTTTATAGCAAAGGTCAATGAGCAAACAAACCTATGTAGTTATCCATGCAAGCTCTTGCATACCTGATACATCAGACCTTATGGAGACATCATCAGGACTATCAATAACCAAATTACATCAAACAGTACAAGTGCAACACAATGAGCAGCAGCAACAGAATAGCAACATCCCAGGCTGCAGCAAGTGAGAATTTGCTCAAATGCAACAGCCTTCAGCACAGAAAAGAAACTGCTTACCTTCAGAAGATACCCAGATACACAAGGATCATCAGAGAGACACCTTTGCTTCCACTGCCAAGCCTTAAATGAGGTCTGGAAAGGGGTGGATCCTGGCTCCAGCCCTTCTGGTCACTCAGGTTCATTGCACGCACCTGAGTTCCCCTGGGCTGGCCCTGCCTTCCTACCAGGTGTCCATCACTGCTCCAAGCTATGACTAGCATTTCTGCTAGAACAAGTTACAGAGGAAGGGAGATGGGAAACAGGTCTGGATGGAGGAGACTGGGTTATGCAGGGGTGCTCCCAACCCAGTCTGGATGTCAGCAATGACAAAACTGGCTCAATTTATTGCTCAATTTATTAGTTCCTTGCCTGAAGGTTGAATGTGTTAGCCCTGCTGCTGAGCAGCCCATGAGAAGTGAGATAGGGGTAACTCTGCACTGCAGAATGCAGCCCTCATCCACCTGGGCAGGGCAGCTTTTCTGCAACTCATTACACAGCTGAGCTCATGCACGGCGTCAGAGCTATTTTCCAAGCCTTCAGGTTAATAAAGCCTTCAAAAGCACCGTGAAGCAGCCGCTCTTCCTTCTTTACATCCCAGGGCTTTCTTTAATAAATCCCATACCGGTAGGGTGGAAAGCAGGGCTGTTTTTCTGCTTTCTGAGCTTTTCAGCTCATTTCAATCAGTATTCTGTGCTGGGACAGGAAAGGGCAAAGAGTCATCAGTGTGGGGAGAGGGATTTCTGTATCTTCACGGCTCCCCCAGTGTCACCCACCCAATGGCAGCAGTCCTGCTGTCTCCATCCCTGCTTGTCCTAGAGCCATGGTACAAAGACTCACTTGCTGGGAAGGGGGAGGCATTAGGATTTATGTAAACATGGCTTCAACACGCTCCTGGGTGACAAATGGGCTTTGCTGCCTGTGGCAGGCATAGGCTGCCAAGTGCCAAACTGGCAATCTGCTCCTCGAGGCACATGCGTGAGGCATCCATGCGCACGGAGTTGCTGGACTTTTATGGTCATGGATAGGGGAGGCTTTAAGCACTCGGGATTTCTGTGCATTAGGACGTGTTGGCTCAGACAGCCCTGAGATTGTAGGTGCTCTGCAGAGGGCTGGCACGGAACAGTGGCTCTGCCCTTGGCCGTGCCATCCATCATCGGGAGCTGCCTTGTTCTCTCTGCTTTCCAGACTGCATCCTTAGTGGTGACAATGTCAGTGCCACTCTGCTCTGAAATAAAAAGCGGTGGGAAATGGGCTTTCATAGAGCAACAGAAGAAAGTCCAGATTGGAATCTGCAAGTCAATGGCACGTCTTTCAGGGTGGTGGACGTGTGCACCTTCCACCAAGATGCAGCACACTGCATCAAAAAGCAGAATGCAGGCAAGTGGCTGAGAACTACTGGGAAGTAAGACCACGTTTGCTTCCCGCTCTCTGGATTTATGTATTTTAATGCAAGGAAAGGCTTTATTTTTGAATGAAGCTTCAGTGAGCAGAGTGCTGTTTTGCAGAGCAGAGGATTTGGATGGGATTGTGACAACCTTTAAAATACACAGACTACCAGAAAAACTTGCCTTGCGCTTCTTGTTCTTCTATACACCATGGCTCCATAGGTGTCTTGCCTGCTTTCTTTGAAGGGAAATGGCAAAGCTTGCATCAACATTACTGAGAGCAAAATTAAGCCCATTAGCAGTGAGTGCTCACAGGAAAACCCATGTGCACTTCTCTGCACGTCCCTGGCCAAAATCCTTTCAGCACGCACCTGCTTTCTGTTTGCTTTGGTGAAAAGCTGGAAAAGTTTTAACTTTACTGAAAACAGTTCTGATTTCCCTTTAAAAAAAATAAAAAAATAATGGGGGTTGGGGAAGAAAAATGCATCACTTGCTGATTTATTTCTCTCCTTTGAGTTTCATGGGGTGTCTACAGAACCCTCCTGTCGAGCCAGTTCCATTTATTGCCAGTATTGTGCTCGACTGAATGAAGGTTCTGCGTGTCTTGTTTGTTATTCTGAGTCATATCACAAACATTTTAGCAAAAGGTCCAAAGTCTTGCAGGGAACACAGGGAAGCCAAAATCGCCAGATGGAGAAAAGCACATCTTAAGGGATGACATTTGGCATGAGAAGCGGAGTAGAGGTTTGGTTTTAAAGTTTGGTTTGATCTGCCCCGTATTATATCACTGCTTGTGCTTTGCAGGAAATTGTTGAGGTTGAACCAAAATAAAGATTGAGTTTTAGAGCATTTTCTCTTTACACGTTCTTTTGGGACCCACATCTTTCAGTATGTAACCTATTAATTACAAATATACACACACACTCGTGTTCAATTTTATTATTTGGGCTTCATTTGACCCTTCAGAGGGAACCAGATGAAAGCAATAATCAGTTCATTCAGCTACAAAGCAGAACAAAGCAAAAAATAAAATTAAATTAAAAAAAAATCAAAGCTAGATAAACATAGCGTGTTCTCAGGGAAAACAACAACAGAAAGGCTGCACTGGCAGGAGACTTAATGGGGCTGCACACCTCCATCAGAGCAGAGCATGGGCTGTGCCTGAAGGGGATGCCTGGGGCTGTCTGGGTTGGTGTCTCCCCCAAATCCTGCACTGTTTCCTGCCCCTAGAATCCAGCACTGATGTTGAAGTGGAGCAGAAGAGCCCAGGATAGAGCCTGCTGGCACATGAATTCCTTATCACCGCTCTGGGGGCAAAGCCATTGTATTCTGAGCACCGCAGGTCTCACTGATCCAAAATCAGGAGAAACTGGGAAGGGGAGCTTATCCGCTGGAGGGCTCCTTGTTTATTGGGTATGTCCCAAGAACGAGGTTAGATGTTAGGACAAATATATTTGCTGGAAGAGTGGCGACACGTTGGCACAGGGAGGTGGTGGAGTCACTGTCCCTGGAGGTGTTTCACAACCGTGGGGATACGGCACCGAGCCAAGCGGTCAGTGGGAATGCTGGGATGGGTTGAGTCGGAATTGGAGATCCTAGAGATCTTTTCCAGCCTTAATGATTCTAGGATTTCAACTACCTGAGGGCTGGGTAGGTCCAGGGTTTTGCTGAGGATGTGAAAATACAACGGCTGCGGAGTTAAACCAGCGCGTTTTGAAGATATTTGGGTGAATGTGTACACGGCGCTTCTGTAAAGCTGGGTGCTGTGCTCTCCAAAACCCCACCATCTGCAGGACGTTTCATTGTGAGTGAACGCTCCTGCATGCTGACATCAGACCCAGCAGGGCTGTGCCTGTTGGGGATGCTGTTTTTATGCACTGCGAAAAGCCCAGAGCAAATCAGGGCTCCTCACTGTACAGTTATCTGGCAGAAGCTTGCAGTGCGAGATCCCAGCTGCGCAAACGTACGCGTGCACTAAATCAATGGGGCTGTGCGTGTCTGGAAGCACAAACACACATTTTTGGGGATTGGGATCCTCCTTCTGATAGGGAGGTGCCTCTGCCCTGCCCAAGGCTGAGATTTCTCCAGGCAAGAACTTGAAAGAATGTGATGATTTTGCACTTTACTTCGCTAGGCAAGCCCAGCAGGTGAGAAGTTTTCTTTGGATACTCAAATCTTGCAAGAATCCCACAGAAAGTGACCATCAGTGCTCACACATCCATCCCTTGGCTTAAAGAGAGGGACCATAACAGCTCCCATAGATAGGACAAGCCCTAACCTTTGAGCTCTGCAGTGAGCTACTATGGAATTGAAGGGAGAAGAAGAAAAATTTCCTTTTTAGGTCCAAAACCCATCAAACCCATTGTTCCTGACCCTTGTTGAGAGTGATGGAAGATGAGATACACAAACAACAGCAAAAAATGTTTTCAATCTGGACTGACAAGTATGGAAGGATATTTGTGGTGAGGGAGAAATTTGCCACCCACCGCTGCAGCTTTGGAATACAGTTTCTGCGGTTGTTCTTTATTCAGAGTTGGTTGCTGAAATAAACCAACACCAAAAGAAATGCCAAACTACAAAGTGGGATTTCCAGATAATGCATTCTTTCTTAGAGGAGGAAAGAAAACCCCATTTTTTTCCCCCTTGCTTCATATTTTCCAGCATTTTTTGCAGGATCCTCTATCATTTGCAGCTATTTACTGAGCAATATTTTGCTTTCCTCACACGCGTCCCTGTAGCAGGATCAGGTTGTTTTGCAGCAGTGCTAGAGGCTGAAAGCAAAACAAAAACAAAAGCAGAGATTGTTGCTAGCGATAAAGAAACCTCAATGACTTGTGTCAAAGCTTCGTTCAGCAACCAAAAATTTGGACTCTGGCTTACGCAAACTGGCCAAAAGCCACCTGAATTTGTGAAATTCAGCTGGAGTTTCTGGAACTCTCAGGAAGAAGCAGGGAGGGAAAGATTTTGCTTTTTTGCTTTTTGCTTTTTTTTTTCTGGAATTTTCCACTGTCCCAGCAGCAGAAAGGGCTCTGGTCACGGTGCCGTGGGAATAAGCAGAGGGGCTGCACAGCCACAGCTTTGGGATGTGGTGTGAGCCCATGCGTGGTGGTGCTAGTTGTCTTTGCCCTCTCCATTTGGCCCTGAACAGAGGAGTAAATGCAGAGGTTTTTGGTAGAGGTTGGGGGCTCGGGTGCTGCTTGATTTATTTCTCTGGTGCAGGAAGCCTGTGCAGGATGTGAAGTCATTGTGGTGATCCTCTCCAGAGGTGGCATACTCACGTTCACCCAATCCCATCCAAATATTGTGTTTCATACTCACAGAATCATAGAATCATAGGACGGTTTAGATTGGAAGGACTTTTAAAAGTCATTCAGTTCCAAACCCCTGCCATGGACCAGGTTGCAACCCACCAGGTCAGGCTGCCAATGGCCCCATCCAATATGGCCTTGGGATGGGGCATCCACATCTTCTCTGGGCAGCAGCATCCAACCTAAATCTCCCCTCTTTCATCCTCAGAGCCCTTCAAACAGGCCATGTGCTGCCTTGGGGAGGTCACGTTATTTCCTGGTGAGAATCAGGAGGTTTGCATATGCTGCGAGCAAAATTTCCTTCCAGAGGGTTGCATGAGGTTTCTGACCACTGTATCTGTGTGTTCTTGAAGATGACGTATCGTGTTACTAATTCCCCTAATTGCATGTCTGGGCTAAAAACAGACTGAGTTTTCCTAAGAACTTACATTCTTAATAACATTACTTAAAACACTGTGGTAAATTCAAGTAAATTTTTAACTGATGCACGTACATTATAAATCAGGATATACATGCAGATAATGTTTACCTTAAGCTTGTTTATCCGACCCTGCCACTCATTTGTTCTGTGCCTTGCCAAAACACAGCAATACAAGATAGAGTGAGTGGAATAGATTCAAGCCTTCAGGGTCCTAAGGAATGGAAAGCTTCCAGAAGCACAGTGCCCCAAAACAACCACATAGCTTGGCCTTTCCTCTGGACTCTTACAATAGAATCATAGCATAGACTTATGATGGTTGGAAATGATCTACGATCCCCAAATACAACCTTAGCTCATCCCACCATGCCCACTAACCACGTCTCTCAGTGCCACATCTTTACAGTTCTGGAACGCCTCCAGGGATGGCGACTCCCCCATCTCCTGGGCAGCCCATGCCAGTGCATCAGCACTCTTTCTGAGAAGACATTTTTCCTAGCATCCAACCTGAACCTTCACTGGTGCAATTTAAGGCTGTTACCTCTCCTCTTGTTGCTGTTACGTGGGAGGAGAGGTCAACACCCACCTCTCTACAACATCCTTTCAGGGAATTGTAGAAGCTGTAATAGCGATAGGTACAAAGAGATGCAGCCTGATGGTGAAGCAGATTTGCTTCCAACTGAAGAAGGTCCGAGAGCAAAAAGGCCCTGTGTGACAATGGATACGGGATGGCTTCAAACAGTGGGCTTGTCTATGCGGTGTCTCCAGGACAGACAGCACTGCCTGGATGCATTTTGATGTTTTAGTGATTTTTTACAGCTTACAGCATTAAGAAAAGTTCCTGGAAATCCATGGGCAGGATGTGAGCCCACTGCCTGGGGGTGGTCTGCTGTCCCCTCCCTTGGGGACAGTTGGGGCTGACTCACCCCAGAGCAGGACCCAGCCTTGGCCATGGAGCACAAGGCACGAAGAGACACTTGACGTGGAAATGGAGCAGTCTGGAAGGTGGAGTCTTCCTAGGGGAGGCCCTTGATTTTCCATCTTTCTTTTTTTCTTTTCTTGAATATCAGCCCTGAGATTTCCACAGAGGTCAGGAAATGACACACATGTGCATTGTTGCCACCTCCAGAGGGAATGGGGGAGGCTGCTCCTGGCAGCAACCCAGCAGCAGTGAGCACGCACTTTTGGGAAGAGCATTATCTCACTGCTCAATGGCCCCTCGCAGAGGAAAGCAAGTTGCTTTTCGTCTCCTAATGCCAGCTCCTTCACTGCAGCACCAGGAAAGCACTGATAAACATTAGTCATGGAGAAACTCTTTGGAAACACAGAAAGTTGAAAGAAATACAACCAGCCCCAGGGTGGCATTTTGGGGGAGATTTCAGACGGCAGCCACCCCTCCTCCCCAGTTTCCCATTCCCCATCAGCATCACACTGGCATTGCAAAAAGGAACGAGGCACCTGGATGCTGGCACCCACTGATCCCATCCACAGTTTAGTACGAGGCTGATGGAGAGGAAACCTCAGGAAGGGTTATTTTGTTTTCTCCATATCCAAGGGAGATGCTTTGCAGACGTGACAGCTTGTGTTGGCACACCAAGAAGTGCCCTCCGAGATGTTTTCCTGCTCTCCTCAGTTTCTCAGCTTTCTCTGCGGGCTGCATTAGTGCATACTTACATGTCGACAGTTCATTTCCAGCCTCAGATGGTCAACACCAAGGAATTCCTCCTGGCCTCAGTTTGCATTTTGTGGGCAGCTGTGCAGCCAAGGAGGGTTTTCTCCAACATGAGCCCATTCTCACATTTTCTGACTTCCTAAAGCTGTGAAAGGCCGAAATTCTGTATGTCTTCAATTAATTGTGGGCATAATTAATGAACAACACACCCCCTTTTCTCCAGCTTCACCCTAATATAAAGGTTCTCTGGCTCTTTTGGGGTTGTTTCCTTTCTAGCTCTTCTGATTCCTCTCCTTCTCCAGTAATGGCTAAATTCATCCTATTCTTCCATCATATGCATGGAAATTGAGCTCTCCCAAACCTCAAGGTGGGAATAAATCTCTCCATCTGTTATGTGAAGGTATTGTTCCCTTTCTTCCCTGCCCGGCTTTGGTGTTTTTCCTCCTCCTGAACCACGTTTGTGATATCTGAGATACAACAGAGAACCCATTTCCAACTCCCCTTTTAATTAACAGAGCTCAATGTTGAATAAAAAGACACCTTCCCTGTAAGCAACAGCAGTGGGATAGCAACAGAATTGAGCACATCTACTCTCAAATCCCAGGATTTGGGCATCGGGTCAGGATAAATGTGTGAAATACCACTTTTTTCCAATGTAAGGTAAGGAAATGTCCTGGGAACAGCACTTTTTAGAATCCAGGTGGGATCCAAGAGACAGCAGATGGGTGTCAAGGATGGGGACTGCATTGTGGCGTGGAGGGTGCAACAGAGACACAGAGACTCAGAGCCACCCGTTGCCTCTCCCCATTCTGCGTATCAGAACATTTGAATTCAGGCAAAAGAAGAATTTCAGGTGTTGTGAAAATATCCCAGCAAGCTGCGTGCAATGAGCTGACATCCATCTGCCGTTTTTGCTTTCCTAATGGTGCATTTCCTGCTCATCTCCTTGTTCCTGACTCACTGAAATCTTGAACAAAACACTTTCAGCCAAACTCTTGCACCAGAATAAATACCTAAGTGCACCGCATGCAAACCTGGAATGCTATCACATGAGCCACACTGAAAACACAACTCTGGGACATCCTTCCAAATTTTGGTGCTGTTTCTTCCAGTTTTGCAGGATATACCATCCCAGCCTGCTCCCTAAGAGTTGAAATTTCATTGTGTTGCATTATGCTATGTCATGTTATGTTATTTTTTGTCCAGGGAGGAGTGTTTTCAAGCTCCCAGCGATTTGCAGAAGGATGTGATGCCTCACAGTATTGGATAGGGCATTTTCTGAAGAATTTTCTGGGCACTAGAGAAACCATGTGAGAAATTCTGCTCAACTGCTGTTGAAGTGACAGGGCCTACACAACAGTAGATTTTCACTTCTTCTATATTTATAGCAAAATGGAAACAAAATGTGCTTTAAAGTAAACAGTAATATTTCCAGAGTTGGGCTGTTTTTCTTGCTCTTTGGTAAGCTCCTGCAAGCAAAGCTTCTCACACATCGAGTAATGGCAAAAAAAGGTAAAGACAAAAGAGTGAGATCTCAAGGCAGTGACCTGGCACTTATTTGGACAAGGCTAACTTTCACCCAAAACCTTTAAAAATGGTGGCAAGGGTCATTTTGAAGCCACCAAACCAAGCAAAGCTGGTAGCTGCAGCCTCTGCTCTTCCATTCCCTGTCCTGAGCCAACAGCACAACCACTGGGGAACCCACCAGCACTGTTAGATGATGCAGACCCTTTAAACACTGAAACCACTGCCCAGGTACACGGTAGCTGAAGGACACCTATGCCGAGAATTTGATGTCATCACACTGTTTTTTGTTCCTTCCCCCTCCCTGTCACACAAGGAAGGTGATGAAGCACCGTGACCACAAGCTGGGAGTGTTTGCTCTGTATGCATTTTGGTTGCATCAATACAGGGAACATCCTGAGGTCAGGAGGGAGCCCAGTACTTGAACTGAGCTGAACCGAGAGCAAAGGACAAAAGGGAGGTGTTGGATCTCTACAAGTTGGACACTGTGGAATATATTTTTGGAAGACACTCCTTGTGAAGGAGCAGACCCTCTCTAGAAGTACTCAGTAGCAGGAACAGCCTAAAATCCCCTTTTGATTCCCAACTTTATTTGACTCCAGCGAGCCCCTTCCGTTGTCCCAGAGAGAGGCAAAAATTTCCACAGGTAAAACACATTTTGCATAGATGGAAAGATAAGAGAAAAAAAATATATGATTCTAATAATAAAAAAAAGAAAACTGGCAATTTCACAAGGTTAAGATGACCCGCAGTGGGACTGGCCACACAGAGCACCTGCAGAAGGAGGGAATGGGGGATGATGCCCAGACCCAGGACACATCTGCCTTATTGCTCCATGATGTCCTCTTACTCATCTGTCTGATGCTTTAACGCCTCCTGGACTTTCCAATGTGACTTAAAGCGAGGTGTAGGCTGAGGTATGGGGTATAGCATCACTGGAGCATTCCCATGAACCTGGACGTCATCACCCAACACTGCCACGTTGGCAGACCCATGAGCTGGAGGGGTTTGGGAAGTATGACTCAGGCCACCTGCCTTCCTACATGCAAGCTTGAAGTCATAACATGAGAAAGCAGCAGAGAAAGCAGCACAGCCGCTGGTCAGCAGAGAGCTCTGCATGCAAACAGCCACTTGGGCTGCCCAGGCTCAATGCCCAGAGCCCCACATCCCAGTCCTTGCTCAGTCCCACAACACCAGTGAGTGATGATGTGGGCTCCTCGAGCTTCAGGGCATGCTAAAATGAGATGTGCATTTATTACGGTAAAAAATGTGGGAAATAGGAAGGGTTGCGATTTCCCAAATTACTTTTCTTCTCACTAACAGCAGCTGGCAGCAAATATATTTAAAATGTAAATATTTAAATACTCACTCGCAAGCACAATTACCTTTTTTTTTTTTTTTCCTTGTTCACAACTCGACCCATTCAGAGTCTATAAATACCCACTCAGGAAGCAAGAGTCTATGCCGCTTTTGGGGAGCAATCTGAAAATCCTCATCAATTGATGCGGCTTAATAATTAGAGGTGAGGATGGGCACGGAACATGGCTTCAGCTGGGTTTTTCTCTGTGTGTTTTAAAGGAGATGAGGCATGGCTACGGAATAAAATGCTGTGATTCGTGACACAGAAAATGATTCTGGTGTCCAAAGAGAACGACGGCTGTTTATAGCACACGGATTAGCGCCGTGAGGTTCCTTTATGTTTCCCTGCGACTTCTTCTCCCTGTGAAACAACCCCACCAAACGCCTGAGAAATGAACGTGCTTCAGCCTTTCTATTTATTTTGATGAGCTGAAAGCAAGGAAAAAAGCTCCTGCCGGCAAGCAAGGTGGAGGAGAAAGCATTGCAGCTTCTTTCCCCCACGCTGGCTGTAAAACGTACAGAAATGTAAAGCCATAAAATTTTTATGAGGGGTTGTTTTTATAATGTTTACCAACCTCATGCCTCTATGACGCTTTCCAGCAGATAGTGGTTTAATAGAGCTCCTATCACCCAACGGAGATAACTGTGAGGGAGAGCCTGGCTCTGCTTGCAGCAGCGCGGAGCTGCCCGCGCTCTGTGGCTTTGCAGCGCTTCTGCTCGATTTCAGCCCCTTTCGCTTTGGTGGAGGTTTGACATAACGTGGAACCTTTGCATCTGATTAAGAATTAAAAGCTGGAGGTGGGAAAGGATCTCCCAAGAGGTGTTTCTTAAGGAAACAGCTAGCTTGCTAATTGCGCTATTAGTTTTGCTGCTAATTAACACAAAGTTGAGTTTTGTCTGAAAGCTCCTCTGAGCAGCAATTTTGTAAAGAAATCATCCTAACCATCCTAAATTTAACCAATTTAATCTCTTGCTACCCCTCCAAAGAGCAGCTCCAGGGGCAGAGAATATCCCCTTTTCATAACAAAAAAAAACAAAAACGTGTTTATTAGCCCAAGGTTCATCCCCTGATTTATCGATTTGGATTTGCACTGCGCGATGGGCCGGGTGTGCAGCACACCAGTGTGCCTGTCGTATGTTCCCCACTGACGTGTTTACAATATTTTTGATTTACACCTTCCAGGTGTTCTTTTGGAAAATATCACCGCCTTTGGTTTACACATTTTTTACAATATATTTGTGGCCATCGGCGAGCTTCCACATTTGTTACAGAGGATGTGCCAAGAAGGAGGGCTTTTATTTTCTTTCACTTGCTGGCAAGATACAGATTTTTGGCTTTTAGAAAAACAGAGGATTGATTGACTGAAGAAGTAAAACCCCCAAAGTATGTATTTGGGTTGAGACGCAGTTATTTGCTCAGGGCAAGGAGCTGTGTGTCAGGCTGGGGCTCCGCTGTGCTGATCTCAATCACTCCATAGAGAAGCCCATCTTCACCATAAAACGGTGAAAAATGGCTGCTGAAGTTCTGCATCCTGACGTTTTTTGGAGCTACAAGCACAGCACACAGAAAATCTGTGACACAGGGAGAGATTGAAAGGGGTCGATGCACACAGCCGTGTTCTGCAGTGCAAAGCCTTGCACGTAACCCAATAAACAAACTCGACGCGCCGAGTTCTGTCACTGCTGAAACGGCGCACATAAAGTCACCCTCCTACTTTTTTGTTTCATTATCTGTATGTTTAATATAGAATTTAAATGCTGCGTTATCAGTGCCATTTAATTTCAGAAGGCTCAGAAGGAGAAACTGTCATTAATTAGTGGCGTGAAGTGCCTTCAGAAATTATTTTTTTTTATTATTCAGAAGGAAAAATACTCTGCTTGCACTGTGAGAATGCCCCGATGCTGTCCTTGAGCACTGAGCATTTCTCTTTCAGCGTGGCCAGTAAACGCTGCAGTTTTGCTATTTGCCTTTTTCCTACATCGTGCCAAAACACCATCAGTATTTCATGACCACATTTCAGCAACGTTATTTAAAAAATACAGATTTTATTACACAAACAGCCCAATCCTCCAGTATCTTTCCCAGATAAATCTGCATGAGGATCCATGGGACCGCTACCTGCAAAGAAAGCCCACTCTGAAGCCTTACCTGCTGCTCCCACTGCTTTTGTTACTGAAGTTCTTTGCTGATTTAATCTGATTCTCATCACACCGCTAACCAGGTGTGGGCTGGAGGCTGTGCTTCACACCGGGTCAGAAATGTCAACCATGTGGGGAAGCTGTTGGGAAAAACGAGGCAAGAAGTGGTGGGCAGTGCAGAGTGTGTCACCCTACAGCTCAGGTGCTGTCCAAAGACCTCCAGTTTTATCCCGTTTTAATGGTGTATTATCAGCCTCTATGCTGCATGAGACTGAAAAGAAGGAAATAAAAATCATAGAGTCATAGAATGGCTTGAGTTGGAAGGGACCTCAAGGGTTATCAAAAATATTGATTAATAGAAGGGAACGAATCTGTGCTTTATGTGCTTGAAATTGTGCATTGGACAACAGCGTGGCAATCCACCACTGCAGATTAATCTCCTCTTCTTTGCTCCGAGATCACAAGCATCAGTGCTTGAAAGGTTCCCAGTTCAGCATTCTTTGCGTTTGACGGACACAAACACCAAGCGCTGAGCTGCAGCCCCTTTTCTCCCACCTTCACTGCTGGAGTCCATCTCCAATAAGCATAAAATCTCACAATTCTATGGTAAACTTTGGCTTACATTGCCGAGGTGGCTTTGCTTGGTGTTGGCAAGCAAACCCAGTGATTGCAGGACAGCGGTTATTCCGCCAATTTAAAAGAAATTAAGCAAACACATAAATTGGCCCCAAAGCCAGGAGAAAAGATGTGACAGTTGTCGATGCCGGGCAAAGGGGCAAGCAGATTAGCAGCCTTACTTTTTAACATATAAACATCTGAGACCCGTTTCCTGTTAAAAAAAAAAAAAAAAAAAAAGAAAAAAAGAGAGAGAACTTAGGTGGATGACCTCAGGCAGGATTTTATTTTAATAGCAAACGCGAATTGTACATCACCATGGAAGAAAAAAAATAGGCCACTCTTGGTGGTCTCGATCCGCTCTGGGTACGGGAGAGCAAGAGAGAAAGGGGAGGAAAAAAAATACATATATATAGAAAAATAAACTTTACCTTCTCGCTTTCAGGGTGGGCAATGCCATTTCGGCTTCGGGGTCCTCGGCTCTGGGAAGTGTTAGCGCTGTCACCGCCGCACCGCCGCAGCGCTGCGAGGGAAAACATTCCCCGCATTCCTCCTCCCCTCTCTGCTATCCACGGATCCGAGCGCTGCAGGTTCACGTTGCTACCGTCCGACTGCACGGGACAGAGCTAATCTAAACCGGGGCCGACCCACCGTCCGACTCGGCAGCGAGGAAAAACATTGACAAATTTGCTGTTTAAAATGCTTTCTACTCTTTCCAGTGTTTTGCTGTGCTTTTTTTTTTTTTAAAGCTATAAATACACCCCGCCAGCTGCAACATGTTGCACGAAGCCAGCTTTGTGGATCGAGCGTCTTCTGACACAACGCCTTGCACTGGCTTCGGGTTAATGTTTGATACTGGGAGTCAACATGATATTTCTGTCCTCAGCGAGGATGGTGTGGTTCTCCCGTGTTGCTCTGCAGAAAGAGCTTGAAAAAGGCACAGCATAAGGGCAGCACAGCCTCAAGCATCTGTTCAGCCATTGCGGCATGAAAATAAAACTGAGTACAAAAAGACAGCTATCTCTTAAGGTAGTGCATAATTCAAGCTAAGGCAATGGTTGCATGCAAGAACTTTGGCAAGTGCATAATCATTAAATTCCCTTCTTTTTTCCCAATGAGGTGGACTGGGGAATGTGCAGGACGTTGATTCCTCTGTTGTAGGGTTGGAGAGGTTCATACTGAAGCAGAACCAAGCAAGAGGCAGCACAGACTGGATGTGATTTTGCCTGTGCAGATTTTTGGTCAGCTAAGCACATACCCACAACATTTCTGAGAAATTGCAGGTCTATTAGTTCACAATGGAATGTATCATGAAGATGTATATATAAAATGTGTATGCAGTATACATATATATAATGTATATATAAAAAAATCTGCTGTACACACTGTGCAATCCAGCACTTACCCACCCATCGGTACTGCTGCACTGCGAACCAAACCCACGATCTGTAGCAACGCAGCACCAAAATGGCTCCTTTTCACCCAAAAAACAGAATCCAGGGCACCGTTTGTGGGCAGGCATCCCCTGCCGTGCCCTCACACCATTCCCCACAAATGCCAGGAGTTATTTCACTAATGAGCGATTGCTCCGGCATTAAGAAAGTCAATCAATCTTCTGTGCGCTCTTGCAAATGAATCCTCATATTATCTGTATATGCCGTCAGGCAGGATAGTTTAGAAAATACCAGCCCCTATCTTATCTTGTCAGTTCATACACTGATTGGGGGGGGGGGGGGAAATAATGGCTGAGAGAGCCACAGGCTAGGATAATTAGTAAAATCAAGTGACTCGCTGTTTGTTTGCTTTGCAAAATGAACTTTTACCCCTCCACTGCCACTCCTCCCCCCAATTTTCACCGTCTTATCATATGGCATTTGACATGACAGGTTAATGAGAAATCCCCCAAATTCAGCTTCTGCAGCTAATTGTAGCCGTGGTTGCTCTCAGCTTGATGGTCCGGCTCCTGCCCTGTGAAACCCGAGCTCTCGGGGGATACAACGGGTGTGATTACAAACCTACAGAAACACACACTTACAGACAATAAGTTGCTCTCATTACCCTCATTTCTGTATCTACAGGAACTGAGTCTATGCATTTTTCACAATTTCATCTCAATCAAGCAGCAAATTAAAATTTAGAGGGTTTTTTTTTTTTTCATCTGTAATGCACTCAGTTTATAATTATTTTAATATAATCTAATATTGCAGCCACTCGAGCAGGCAGCTTGCAGGGTGTCGGGCTCATTCGCTGTGCAATCCTTCAGAAATCACAATTTTCGGATGGGAAGAATTGAACAATTTGGACAACAGAAGACAAACAGTTGCTGTCAGCTTGAGTGGAAAAAGAACCACATGGCGTGCTCTGGCCATTAATAATCCCCATTGGCGTGGAGATCTGTCTGCCATTGCACACAGCATGCTGCTACCTCCCAGTTTTTCTTGTTCCTCGGGCTTTCTCCCATTAGCTGATTTTGTTTGGGGGTATTTTTATTTTTATTTAGGGTGGGAAAGGGAGGAAAATGCAAAATTTGGGCTCTTGACACGAAGATCTCATGCCAAACTTCCAACAGCGCAGGGAAATCAATTTCTTGTTCAAATCCCATGGAGAAAGGCTGAACTTGGGGACACTGTGGTGAGGAGGAGGAAAAAATCCCTTTTGGCTGCCTTTTCTCCATGAAAAAACATTTAGATGGTCCCTCTTTCTGGAATACCCATGTAAAAGCCCAGAGCTTAGCTTTCTTCTCTAGCAAAAGCTGCTTTTATGTTGGATGAGGCTACTCAACTTCATCCACTGAACTCCTGTGACCAACGCACGTGGTCCGGCTCCCAGGAACACAACATTTGGCCCCGTTATGCATCAAATTTCATTTCCAGTCAGTGGATTTATTGACGTTATAATGGCCAGCCCACACAAACTGCAGCCATGCAGCCAATTAACAGGACAGACAACAACAGACATTTGAGAAGTTGCTAAACTTGGTCTTGAAAACGAGCTTGCTTTATCCCCGTAAACGGATCTTGTTCTGTCATCGTGCATTAAACTGGAAAGCTTCACGTTGCAAAGTGGTACAAAATCACATCCTGATAACCAAGGCCTCACAGAATATTTCAACAGATCGTATCGCTTGTGGTTTTATTTCATAACTGCAGTGCAAACACGAGGGTGGATTCCAAGACAAAAATATCCGCATACGCCGATATGAAGTTCTTGGTGCATCATACCTAAGGGTGCCAAAGGACAAGGGGGTCTGATCCATGAGCGTTTTACCCCCTGCCAAACCCATAGACACAAAAGCAAAACTCCTACGACCGTGTTTTTCCCCATCCCGGATTGAAATGCAGTGATCCAAACCAACAGAAACATTTGGGGAAAATCGCGTTGATTTCACCGGACCGTTGCCACCATCAAAGGACTTTCGAAGGTCACCGCCTTTCTTTCTGACATGAAATGAAGCATTGCAGATAACGCAATGTATTTCTTTATTTTAAAAAAGTTCAAAGGTCCATTAAGGCTTCCACATTGTACAAAAGGCTTAATTCACCGGAAGCCATTTTTCTCTCCCAATTGTTTGGAGCAGCAAGTGAAGCAAACAATCCGTTATTCACACAGATCTACCCAGAAACATATTTCCCATGCCCATGCCCAAGCCATCTATGCTTTAACTTAACAAAAATAACTTCTAACTGGGCTTGCACCTTTGGAGATCACTCTACGTTTTAGCTTTATCTTATTTTCGCTCTGTAGTTTCATTCTAAAATATCCAGCGATTTGATGACTTGGGTTTTAAAGCGCTGAATTGGTTCGTATTTGAGAGCGTGGTTGGCTGAGCTGGGTAGAACTTATAGCTACCTGTGGTAGGTGGAAGCTAAACTGAGATGAAGAGCTGTGCAAGAAAATACATTGAATCTCTTTGTCCAAAATTTGGGTCCGTACTTTGCATCTAAAGCTCATAGCTCCTTGTCAAAAGATGCACTAGGAGAATTGGTGTGGACACACCATTTTCTGGTGCAATTGTCTCATATTGAGTAAAATTTCCACTTTCCCATCACTGTGGGTAGGCCATTTTCTGGTACAATCGTCCCGTTTTAAGTGAAATTTCTACTTTCCCACCGTGGTTTTGGAAAACAACAGCTTTCGGCTCTTTTGAAGAGCGTGGTTCACTACTCTTGGATCCAGGCTGTCCAAGTTGCCATGTGTAATACCAATGTTATTTCCTTTATATTATAAATAGGATTTGGGTTGAATATGAATAAACTCATACCCATTGGTATGCTTTGTAACTCTAATCAGTGCTTTCCTGAAAAAAAAAAAAAAGAAAAAAGAAAAAAAAAAAAAAAAAGAAGAATGTTTATCCGAAAAATAAAGAGGTGCTAATTTTATCTTGTGAAAGTGGATATCTCCTTACGTCCCTCCAACTTCGAGGAAGATAACCCGAATGGATTATATCGTCTAAATCCAGCATCCTATGAGATCAAACAGAATAATGTACACATATGCCAAAGATGATTGAAGTATTGCTGGTGCTCACTTCCGCTTCGCTAAGTATGTGTTTCATTGATATACGTAATTTGCCACCGCCATGAAAGAAATTCAAAGTCCTCTGTTTGTGCCAGTTGATTTCTATGATATCTGGAGGCTTTTAAAATAGGGATCCAAAATAGATGTGCCCTTGTCACCCTTGTGTTTAAGCTCTCTCCAACAGGAAATGGCACGGGTTCAAATTTTTTTTATACTGGAAGCCACATGTAGCTAGATAAGAATCATGTCTTGTCTATGACTAAGCATTGACATTTCAGTGTTTAAAATATAGTCAAAATGATCCATGGCGAACCCACCTGAGACTATTTTTCTTTGTCTAAAGTCCCACTTTCTAACTTCTTGAAAGGGAAGGTGGAGCTCCGGGGCTTGTGACATGACCATGTTTTGTTAAGGAAATGGAAGTTTGCTTTATTGTTCGCGTTCAAAGACGTGGCTGTGAGAGGAGGCTTTGCTACCGGGCAGAGCATCGCCTCCACCCGCACCAGTGTGGATCCCTGCCTTCTTCATCCTCACCAACAGGTTTAAAACACAGCGTAGGAGGGGGGGAACAACAACAAAAAAAAACCAATTCGCCTTTGCCAAATCGCAGATGTCAAATTTAACACACTTGGGAAGAAAAAATGAAAAGGAGAAATGAGTGGTATTTCCTTCAAACTGCTGGTTCTCCTAGAGGAAGGGGCAGCTGGAGGGGTGAGAAGGGCTGCGATGTTTATGAAGTGTGCCGGGACTTTTGAAGGAAGCTCACTGAAGGAGGACAGATGGTTTGGGGAACTGGCAATGTGATACCAAGCCTTTCACTTAGAGGTCGCCCGGTTCAAAAGCAGCCTAGGTCGGGGATGGCACTGAGCCATTTCCATCAAATGGCTGCTTGGTGCTGCATGAGAAAAATGGCTCAGCCCCCGCGGCGCTGGCGGGTTTGCATCCTGATCTGTTAGTGAAGATGCATGGGAAGACAAGGAGTGGGAATTCCTGACACATGGGATGGGCAGAAGGCATTGGATCCTCATCCACGGCATGGCCGGGGCACATGGCATCAATTCAGCAAGCCGAGAGAGGTGGCTACCACGGGTGTGCAGCTTTGCTAGCATCCCATCTTCTAAAACCAGCCCCCATTCACAGTCTGTCTGAACCTGTAAAGGGAAAATCTCTAAGAACAAATGTCTGATTTCTAACAATGCTCCCATTGGCATCAGAATTACACTAGGCAGACCCATGGACCAGCATCTTCCCTTGTAGCCTTGCAGCATTCTTGTGTTCATTCCTAGAAATCAAGGAGAAAATCTCACTGGAGCTGTGGCTTCCAAATGCCTTGCACCCTTGGAGATCACCCTATGTTTTAGCTTTATCTTGCTTTCACTCTTCAGTTTCATTCTAAACTGTCCAGCGATTTGATGGCTTGGGTTTTTTAAAGTTTCTAATTCATTTTTCTTATCAGCCTTTGATTTTGGATTTGATTAAATGCACCCGGATAAGAAAACACATCTTATTAGCAGTACTGCTGTAGGGAGGAGAGGAAAAATGGATGTATAGAAAAAAAAAATCCTATGTAAGTCTGCAAGCCACAAAATGCTTTCTAAGAATGCTTCTAGATTTTTAAAGCAAAAGCAGCTGTTGACAGGATACTTCTTTTCTGCATAAATGCTACCCACAAGTTATCAGCTGGAATCCTACACAAGTTCACGTTCAGAAGAGCGCAGTGCACATTCACATTTGCTGAGAGGTTAAAGTGTGTCATGTATTATGTGCTGGCTCATAGATTCAGTAACACATCAGCATCCCAAAGTGTCTCATTCCAAATTAAATTGCCAAGATCAAAGGCTCGGTGATTTGGGACCCAGGGATTGCTGTGCTTCCTCAGCTAAGGGGCTGGTTTGGGCCACAACACGGAACTGTAACAAGCTAATCATGAGTTTGCATCAAAGCTTGCAGCTGGATTGTGTCTCGTGTGGGTCAGCCTTCTCTTACATATTACTGGTGCTTAAAAAAATCAGGGATGTTCATAAGTGTAATTAGGCAAATATATAAAGAAATTAGGCTGCCAGGACTTTGTGTTTCCAGAAGTCTTGCCCACACTGAAATCAATGGCAAAATTATCTAGCAGGAGAAGGAACGGTCATCCAACAGATGAGAGCAGAGAGACAGCATTGATTCTGAAAGAATGGACAGAAAACTCAGAGCAGGACTTCTCACAGCTCTGGTCTCCATCACTCCCACATGCAGCATTTTGGGCTCGATACCAAAATCATTGCAACTGATAAAAGTTCCTGGTAAGATTCAGCCAAGTTTAAGATGAGCCATGGCTTATCTCAGCCAACATCTCACTGCAGGCAGATGCCCAGCTCTGTTCTTGGCATATGTGTTTTTATTAAGGTCACCCCTTTATTGGCAAGAAGGACATGTAGAGAGAGAGAGGGAAAAAGAAAAGGAGAGAATTCATGTCTGGCCTTGCAGGGGGATTTCTGTGTGCAAAGTGGTCATCCTGCCAGCAGAAGGAGCTCCAGCTAAAATCCTGGCACCGCGCTTTCGTTGCTGATGAGATCCCAAATGCTCTTGAGAGAACGAAAGAAAACAAAATGCAAAGGAGTCAAGTTTAGGAGAGAAGCAAGGCAGAAGGAAGTCCCAGCAGGAGCAGGATGAACGGGGAGCTCAGATGGTCCGGTTGGCACAGCCCAGCCTGCGGGAGCCTCAGCCCCACCTCATGTCTGTGCCCACCTGAACAGTGCAGCAGGAATAGGGCTGCTCCAAAACACTTCTGCTGGCTTCAAGCCTTAATATCAACCAGTAGAAGAAAGATTTAAGTTAAATTAAAGAAAAAAAAAAATATGTAGGAAGTTCTGTTGTTCTTAAAGAGAAATTCTGAGATTGAAAGAGAGAAAATAAAGCCACATAACTCCAAGCTGAAAAGCAAAGCATCTCCAGCAGGCCTTTGAAAAGAGCTTATTGCTACTATTACAGCAATTTAAAATATTACAGAATCACAGAATCACACAGAATTGTAGGGGTTGGAAGGGACCTCCAGAGATCATCGTGTCCAGCCCCTAATTAATACCTATGCCTGAACAAAGCAAAGAAACAGCATATAGGAAATAGGAAATATTGTCAAACAAACAAGAATGCAGGAAGTGCCGAATTCCCTAAATTAAATACCCTCCTTAGCTTAGAGCTGATAACGATGATGTTCTGCCTTAGGCTGTTACACGCGCTGCATTCTCCTGCAGAAAGTTATCCATGCAAAGTATTAGCTTTGTTTACATGTGTTGATGATAGTGCAAAGGCACTGAAGAGCTCTGATAAGAGATTGTTACTTCTGAGTCCTGGAGACACTGCAAAAATCTCTCCCTAAAAGATGAGAAAAGTCCAGGAATTGTGCATCTTTTTTTTTTTTCCCCCTCAAATTCATGCTGCTTTGTTATGCCAACATTAACTTCTTCATCCGCTTTGAGATGCTGGTGAATGTCTTTAAGGAGGTTTGTCCCTGCAGCTACTCAGCTCATTGCCAAAAGTAATTCAAAGAGGAGGATAGATCTTCTCCGTTATATTGCCAGTTTACAATACCAGAATGAAATTAATGAAAGGAAAAAATGGAAAAATAACAGACATTTGAAAAGCAGCGGCAACTTTTTCATAGTGCTTGGCTGATTTAAATTCTTCTTATTTAAAAAATACACACGTATAGATGCTCATATATTAGATGCATATGCACATAGCAGAAAGAAGGAAAATGTCTGATGGCTCTTTTTCATGCAGGAAAAAGAAGCTATTGGAAGGAGCAAGCCTTGCTGCTATTACCCTCTCTGCAACACTTCTAAGGTTAAAGGAATAAAAATCCATCAATTTGTACAGCCTGACCTTGCGGTGTTGGTTTTTAGCTAAATTCAGATGTGCAGGATTAACCCAGCAAAGTTTACATGACATTGATTTAAAAGCTGTGTTACAGGACCTTCCTGCAAGTTACATTAATTGGAATCTTTAATCGGGCCTTGGGATAAAGAAAAAAGTTGCTTATCAGACGTGCAACATATGATAAACAGATGTCTCTGTGCATCAGATAAATAGAAGTGCAGCATGCATTGCTAACCACTGCAAGCCTGTGAACAGCACCAAGGATGGGGCCAGGAATAATTCCTTAGCCATGTATTTTTTTTTTTAGGATGAAAACAGAGCAGAGGTGTCTGAGCTGGAAACAGGATTTCTCATCTCCAGCGCACACTCAGGTGTTCCCCAGTCTGAGCAACAGGCTTTGGGTACCAGCTCAGTTGCCATGCAGTGGCTATTGGAAATATGTCCACGTGCATGGTTGGGCAACTCAAAATGGGACAAGAGGATTGATCAGGAGACCTCCTTCGCCAGACCAAGAGACACTGTCCTTGCTATTGAGGCTGATGCCCACGAGCTCAGCCCGCTGGAAAGTCCCACCCGAGCCCCCCCGTGTCCCCAGCTGGAGCACACCCAGCACAAACCAGTATCTGCAGGGAAGTTAGCTGTCAAATCCGCCGAGATCTCCCATGCACAACACCATTTTTCAGCCTCTTATCACGTTGTTCCGCTGGGGCAGCTCTTCACAGGGACGGGAAAAGGGCAAACAGCCGCTCGGAAAGCCAACGCCTGCCAAATTCCCCATTGCTTCCCCAGTGCGGCGGTGCCAGGGTTTCACACAGAAAAGCAAGCCACAGCTTTTGGAGGTGAGTTTGAAGGCTCATTTCCTGAGTTACTAGGAACGGAATCCCTCAGAGAATAATGGTAATATTGAATCAGCCTCGGACGAGGTGCGCACGAATGGAAGGATGTAACCCAAAGGGGCAAAATTCCAAGCACCTTCTAAATAACCAGATAAAAGTTGGCAGCATTTTTAGTTCTAGGACTGATTTCCACTGGGAATGTCCATTCAATATCCACAGACATCTCTCCACGCAGCTCTCCGGGGTCGGTCTCACAAGGGTTTCCAGTTGGGAGCCAATACACAGCTCTGACTTTGGCCCATGTCTTTGGAGGATGTGCTAGGAGCAGCTCGTGATGTTCTCTGGCCTCTGGAGGCAGCCCAAGCAAGAGCAGAACAAAGCTTTGATGCAAATGAAAACCTATCAGTGAGCACAGCTAAATAAAGAAAAAATGATTATTTGTTATGGAAACGAGCGGAGGAAATCTTGAATTAGTCAGTGCATCTTGACCCCTCTCTGCCCTCCTGTAAAAGTACATCTTCTAAAAGAATCTGGAATTTCAGCCGCCAAAGGGGAGAAGCTTTGGGGCATTTCCAGTCACCTGGTGCAAAACCCAAACATTATTTCTTGGGGAAAACCATCCCTATTGTACAATATGTATTTAAAGCAAAATAATAATGAGTAAAAAGCATAACTTCTGCAATGTTCAGTGGCTAAGCCCAGCCACCGCGCAGACAGGAAAAGCCTGAGTTGATATTGTGAATGAACCATGTGGTAATTGTTTCCGTACATCCTCATTAAGATGAAAAGCTACGCAAATAAACAACAACAAGAGCTGCTATGTGCCAATCAGAGGGTTATTACAAAAACAAAACAAAACAAAACGGGGAGGGAAGGGGGGGAAGGAAAAATTTGGCTCTGGATACCTCTTCCCATGCTTCCTACCAGGAGTATCCAGTAAAACCAAGGCTGGGAGAGGTGGCACTGTGCCTTTTGCCTTGATTAGTCGGACACACTTAGGCAGCGACAGTCTGGCACAAGTCTCAGCTGGGTATGAGTAAGCGGAAGGTGAGGAAGGACATGGAGAGAACCAGACGTTACGGGGAAACGTGACAATTAACCAGAGAAACTACTCTTGAGGGACTCAGAGACATAACACAGAGAAGCTTTCTCCAAAGGTGATGATGTAGCTGCCGTCCACCACATTTCTACAGCAGGATGAAGGAGCTCAGCAAATGTCTTGCTGAGCTTTTTGCTTGGGACAAGGCAATGGCGAGCGCCATCCAAGAGCAGAGCGCACAACAGGATCCATGGGGAGCAACATCACAAGAGCCCTGGGGCACAGTCATCAGGACCCACCTCCCCGTCGTGGGGAATGGCTCTAACTCAGAGCTGGAGACGCTCCCCAGCTCCAAGGGTTGAGGAGACAATTACGTGCCCCATAATTGTCCTCCTTATCAGTGCTGGTGAGCGTGCAGTAGTCTAAATCACACAGTCATGACACTGCACATGGCTGAGCAGGAAGAGCCCACTTGGCCTGGGTTAGATTAGTCTAATCCCACCTCCCTTGTTCTGTCATAATACCCCTCCGTCTCTTCACTCCCCATAAAAATATCCAGCTGGTGATTAAAATTAGTGAACTGTTGGCTCTAAGAAGAGAGCTGGCAGCTTATTCTGTGCATTTACTAGATATCTCTAAATGAATTTGCCATTTACTCAGCAGCCCCATCCTGTGAATTGCCAAGCAGCATCAAGCCTTCTCTCTCTGCAAAGAGGGACAAATGAGGCAGACCCCAGAGCAACCTGTTCTCAGCATCCAACACCTTCCTCAACAAATGCTGCACCACTCATCTTTCCATGGTCTATACATGAATAAAATTGGTTTTCAGCAGAAGATTATTAGTTTGTTTTTTTTTTTTTAATATCTCAATCACAGCCACACATTGATTTAAAAACATACAAATGAAGAGCACACCCAGAGAGGATTTGCATAAATTCAGTCTACCAGAGTGCTGTGGGAAAAAATAATTTCCAAAGGATTTTCTTGGAAGTGTTTTGGGAGAATATCCCAAAGTTTTCCACTTCCTCCCCCCCCTCCCCTTCATTTTCACTGCCTGAGACATGGAAGAGTTGGATTCAACCCACACAACTTGGCCCACTCCTGTACTTTTCTGAGCCTCAATTCCTCCAAGAACAGCCCTGGCCTCAATGCTTCATTGCCAGAACACATCCATGATGGGAGCAGCCATTGCTTAGGTCAGCAGGGGAATCAAGAGAGCAAAGCCAGTGGGTCCATGATGGAGTTGTGCCAGAAGAATGGCTCTTTTTTTAGACTTACTTTGGTGGATAAGGATGTTTCAAGGGCAAGACAAAAGAGATGGACCCAGGAGAGCTGGATTCTCTATTGATACCTGGAAAAAAGAAAATGGAGATGGAAGAGGCTTGAAGGGTGACTCTGAAAGCAGCATGGCTTGCAAGGGCAAGGCTTTTTCCTCCAGGAAGCCCAACATGAGAGCTGCATGGAGCTCACTCTGGGCTCCCCATGCCATCTTCCTCCACTTCCATCTTGAGCACCAGGCCAGGCTTCCTCCTCTCAAAGCAGAAAGCAGTGTTCTGTCAGGATTCCAGCATTCTGCTCATCGGCTTCTTATTATTTCAGACTTCAAGCAATCTGGTTTTGGTATGTCGTTAACTTATCAGCTAAGCCTCTATTTATCTGCATTCACCAAGATCTGAAGTTGTGATGTTTATTCCCACCACTCTGTGGGCGGAGGGAGATCCGCTATGAAGATTTTTCCAGTAATTTCTTTTTTGTTCCTTCAGAAAAAGCATTTTATACAGCTGCACAACTGTCATCTGGTCTCCGGGTAGGATAGAAGGGATGGCCGACAGCACAAGTTGCAGCATGAATCACATTTAGGCATTAAAACAATCTGATGGGCACCAAAAGAGTCATAGTTTCCAAAGGTCTAATGGAATTCAGCGCTGACGTACTTGAGGCTAAAGTGTGTGGTGTACATAGAAAATTGAACATGTTTCTGTCTCGCATCCTGTTGAGCTTGATGGGAGCTTTGGAAAGGGGACATCATCTCAAATAATTGATTGGAGATGTATATTTAAAGATAAAGAAAAAAAAACTCTTAAAACCAGAAAGGCACAGTGAAGGGACGGCACCCATGATCAGGGAGGGCATCTCAAAAAGATGGATGCAGTGATTTTCCAAGAGTGTCAAACAGCTGTGCTAGCCAATGTGGATACCAGTAATAAAAATGGGAAAGGAACGAGAAGTGGTGCCTTGGAGACCTGCATGGGATGGATGGAATGGAAAGGGAACCTTTCCCTATATAGCCAATGGGAGGGGTGCTCATCCTGCCCATTTCCCACCCAACTCAACGAGGATATTGGTCCAGGTCCATCTCAAAACCCTCAAAATAAAAGCAAAATATGAAAAATTAAAACAACAACAACAACAGATTAAAAATGCAGCCCTGTTTCAGCGCAGACCTCTGTTTGTCCACCAAGCTCTATCTTACAGTAACAGCATTCTTGCAAACTCAGCTTGATGAAGAGACTATGAACGGCATTTGCAGAGCAGAGGATGAGAGCTCTGCAGGAATGGAGCTGCAAGATTTCCACGTAATGGACGCAAGGGTGTGCAATACCCTTTAGTTTCTGCTGTTGCTGGAGTTTGTGCCTCCCTTTGTATTCCAAATATGAAAGGCAGTAACCATATTACCATAAACCACTCTGTTTGCTACAAAATTTCCCTTTGATGATCATTACTGGGAGGAACTTAGACTACTCTGAGGCTTTTTTTTTTTGGCCAAGATAATGTGGATGCTGAGCCTGGATTCAACAACTGTGTGCAAGAGAAAGTCTATAGTCAAGTTAGACAGAGGGGATCAACCTAAACAGCTTGTATTTTATTACCCTGATATGTTTAACTTTTTTTCCACCCATTTTTAAAGATGGGAACTGTAAGATTTGCCCTTTGCAGCTGTATGAACTGTGTGTTAAGAGTAACAGAGCAGCCTCAAATCCCTTTGTATTCTGGGGACATTTTTCCAAGGCATTTTGTCTTTGTAACAATACCCAGAGCTCCCTAAATTTTGGGAAGGTCATTTGTTTCCTAGCAGATAGATTCCCTTATCCAGAGCTTACTAGAGCCCAAACAACAATTTATAAACTCTAAGCTCCTTTCTCCTTCAAGATGAAGTGCTTTAGTGTTGAAGCCAAACTAAATCTTTAAATGGTATAAGAGGCATTTGGATTTTTTTTTTTCTACCCAGCTGACAGTAGGTTTACAGTTTATAATCTGGCCTTTGTAAAGGCATTTGTCAGCCTGTATATTTCATTTTAAAACGCGACCACCCATGAGGACGGACAGACAGGAAGCGTTTGTTCACTTGCACCAACAGCCCGTTTGAAGGTTGGCTGCAAAATAACAGAACGTAGCCGCAAAACGCAAACTTATTTTCTCTTTCCCTGGCATTATCTTGCTAACATCTCGTTTTAAAAAGCAGACTTTGCTTACAGGGAGCCAGTCCTACACTCTAAATTTGGAAGTTCCACGTATTCTCTTAATCCGTGCATCCCAGCGGGATGCTGGCTGCACATCTGCATAATCAATGAATGTACAGATGTTATAATTAAGGAATATACAGGAAAGTTAGGCTAAATGAGTTACCACACCAAAGAAGAACAGATGGGAAGCTTACCCTTGTCCTGGGCTCGCTGAGAAGACTTCAAGAGGAGCAATCTCCAAAAGAGATCCTGCCCCACTGGTAGTCAGCTCTTAAATGGGATCTAGGAGAGATGGAGCCAGGCTCCACGCCTTCTGATAGCACAGCTGAATCGCCTTCACCTGTGCTCCCAGGGCTGACTCATTGCCTCAGGTGGTCAATCAGAGGTTCAGGCTGTGATCCAGCAGTTCCCATGCAGCATCTTTGGCCTCGTGAAAGACAGATCTGCTTTTATCTCCCTCCTGTTTAACTGCCTCACCAAAGGAAGAACAGCCTTAGCACTCGAAGGGCAGAGGGGAAACGTTCAGCATTTTAACAATTCAGCAGATCAAATCTAATCTGAAATCTGCATCATCTCGATGTCATCTTTTTTGGGGTGAGTTTCCATGTTTAGCAGCAATTCGGAAGGAACCATCGTGCCAGATGGTGATCAATTTTTTGCAACTTAATGGAAACCTGCCCAAGTGGAAGGAGGACACCAAGTGATAGGGCTTCACACTAAAAATGATTGGCCTCCATCTCTGGAGCCAATGTATGCATGTCCGTGTCTCCATGCCCAAAGCTGGGAAGGCCAAAGCAAGGCCAGATGACAGGGGCTCTTTCAGACAGCAACAGATAGAATATTGCATTCTTTCTCCCAATATCACAAGTAACACTCACTTTTTATCTCTATTGCTCAAAGGTTTAAAGGGAGGAAATAGCACAATTCCAGCAAGTGATAAAGCTCTGGACTCTTTTTTTTTTTTTTTTTTTTTTTTTTTTTTCCTAGTTGCAAAATATGATAATAAATAACAATTACCTAAAACACTCGTGTCCTAGGATTGACCACTTCCTGGGCAGAACCTTTTAGGACATCAGCAGGACATCAGACCTTCTAGGATGAAGCAGCAATGTTCTGGGCATCATTGGCCTTCTGGTCCCCTCAGTAGTTGTAAACATCTTTTATTCCTACTCTGTCCTTCCTACAAGGTTCCATTATTGGTTTGTCAACCCATGGAGTCTTTAAACCCCTTTTTCCTCTGTTGGCTATGTTTTGAGAAATCTCAAATGTAAAATGAGCAAGAGAGCCACGTTTCTGCAAATTCCCAAATTTTTCCTGCATAATTGATTGGTCAGTCATACAGTCATGCAATCATACAATCACCAAGGTTGGAAAAGACCTAAAAGATCATCCAGTCCAACCGTTCACCTATTCCCAATAGCTCCCACTAAACCACATCCCTCAACACAACATCCAGCCTTTCCTTGAAAGGTCACCCATCTCCACGAGGCACGAATTGGCCCTGGTAGGTGGGAAGCATGGGAACCTGCAGGACAGCAACAGAGTGCATAAGAACTACGTAGGACACTGAAATTCCCAAGAACCACCCATGTTCTATAAACATGGTGCAAGGAATCGCCTAGAATTAATGAAGTATCCATAAGGCATGAAATTCAAGCACTGGGGCATGATCATTTACGTTAAGTGTTGGAAATGATAAAAAGACAAAAGAGCCTTTAGGAGTATCAAGCACGGTCTGAGAACATGATCCATGTCCTGGATCCACCTCCACTTTCTTGAGCTCTTTTTGTCAGTGAAGGACAGGACCTTCTCAGCCAGACCCAAGCCCCTGGGCTTTCCTGCATATGAAGCACTGATATCACACACTGTGGATTTCAGAAGAAAATGGCAATAGTTGGTGGCCCTGCCAGCACATCTTAATGCAAGGATTTGGCTGAGGGGCATGGCTTAGTGGGCATGGTGGGAACGGGTTGGGGGCTGGATGAAATGATCTTAGTGGCCTTCTCCAACCTTAAAGATTCTGTGATTCTGAAGAGGACTCAGGGAACATGAAGTTCTATAGAGAGGCACTCAAAGAGAAGACTAGGGAAAAAAAAAAGGAACTGCATTAGAAGGGCAAGAGGAGAATGCTTGCACCATGGGAGGAGGAAAAAATGCATCAGCTAGATGATTTTAAGTTGTCTCTTCAAGCTATGACAGCAAATGTCACTGTGTTTTGCCACATGACTGCAAGCTTGTGGCACTGCCAAGGGTAAACCTGCTCTGTGTCCACCTGTCCTCCCACTGAAAGCCTGGCTTTATTCTGCACAGATCTGGCAGGCAACATCAGTTTTGACGTATCCATGATTGGTTTCTTGGCTGACAGAGGAGGTATTCAGAGGGCAGGACTGCAAGGCATCCCTGCGGCACTGGGGCTGCTTCTCCCTGACCATACCTGATCCCATTTCTCCCTCCAAAATTGGCTATTTCAGGGCTGGGCTGTGAGCATCCACGGTCACCAGGCTGGCAGTGCATAAGCCTTTCCAGGCATCCTAGAGAGCAAATACACTTTCCAAAACAGGCATTAGGTTTCTCTTGGTGGCTAATAGCTTAAACTATGCTTTTAGCAATGGGGCTGTGCAATGTAACATCAGCAGAAGGAAGATTGCCATGTTCCTTTCTCACTTGTACACGTTGTGCTAATTTGCAGTGGGCAACGAGGGCAAAATTCAGCTCTAGGCAGAAGCCGTATTTATTTTTGCACATCTCCTCCCCGTCTCCTCTACAGAAAGAGCAGCAGGAAGACCAAAAAACAGAAATACAATTTTGATGTCTTTAGAGAGCAGTGTAGACGTATGGCAGGTATTGAGGTTTCCCCCTTTTTCAAGAGAAATGTCACTCTTGAAATAGAAGATACCAATTCCTCTGGAGCATCAGCATCCCTCATTGCTGCACTTCTTCCAAATTCATAGATTTCCATCTGCTTCCCTTGGGGCAGATATGGGGCACATCTGGGGACATGAATTCAAACCTAGCAATGCTAGGCTAGTCCACCAGTTCCTGTTCTGACTGTTGCTGTGTTTTATGGGGATGTGAATTCCCTCTGCTTTGTTGGAAATCAGTGTGGCTTTGCTAAGCTGTGACTATTGGGACTGCGTTTAGGTTTTCTAGGAAACCTGGAACAGCCCCACTGACCCACATCCTCTGCACAGACGATAAAAATGGTTTTGTAAAAACATTTAAATCACTCTGCAGCATTTTAGTAAACAGTAAATTTCGTTTGGGATTTCATCCCAGGGACGAGGCTGCTTCATTTTCCTCAATAAAGACAATTTCTTTATTAGCTTTAGCCTTACAAATCCTATTCCCAACACTCAACCTTTATTTATTATTTGGAAGGGACATAGATCATCCTGCCTTATAACTGTAAATATTCCACTTGCACAGAACGCAGCACATCCTCTTTGTTTAAAACCCAAGCCGTGATCTTTTACATAAATTTGCTTCCTCTCCAAGCTGCAAGGTCCAAAAGATAAACCTGGGGATATCCCAGCCTGGGAAGCCCTTACCAGAGCCCCAGCCCACCTGGGCATCCTATCCAGGATGCTCTGTTTAGGGCTGCAAAGCATTTTATGATGGGGCCATCGCTTTGGGGATTCACATAAAGCAGGTACAACGGTGGGAGCATAAATCTTGTAGCTGATCCAAATAATTTGAAGGGGCATCTTGCTAAAACGAGCAGAGGGGAGCAGCCTAAAATGTCTCCTGAAACATTTCTGAGTGATCAAATAAGGAAAATAAAGGCTCACCAGGCAGCTTTTCTACAGGCGTGGCTTTGCACCTTGAGAAGCACCTCCATCCTCCCGGCCGTGTCTGCCAAAGTCTATTTGCTGTGTGGTGCCAATGCCAACGCTTTGGCTTTGGAGGAATGATGTGTTTTTATTTGCTTCATTTCCAGTAGAGTGAGGCACAGGGTTCTGCTGGCAGGCACAGAGGGAGAAATTTATTTTTCATTAGTTCAGAATGAGTTCGACGATGAGATGACTTTTCAAAGGGAGAGGTTGGAGGGCAGCTACTTTCTTCTGAAGGTTGGAATGAAGCACTTTGCGGTTTGTTTGGCTTTTGGGTGGTTTCTGTCCCCTTCTCACTGCAAATAATCTTCATTCAGCCAAAGGTACGGCTGCACTATTAAGTTACATGAAATAGGGGAGTAAAAAGATCTCCCCAGCTGCAGGGATGATAAAAAAAAAGGCATTTTTATACAACTTCTACTTAAGGATTCGCTGTGGGGATGGAGAAGAGCGATGCTTAACCCATCTCTGCTCCCAAATGTGCTGAGAAAGGATCCCTTTACCCATCTGAACGTGTCCTTCTCCAGCCCAGCTCGAGCCAACCGAGCCTTCCTTTCTATTACAGTGGGCTTTGGCACTCTGTCAGCCCAACCACCACCTGGACCCAATGGGAAAGAACACAGGGAGAAGATCTATGGCACCAGTGAGTCACCACTTGGTGACTCAGCACAACAGGAGGAACAGCATAGGGGTCAAAGCAGCCATTCAGGGCAGCCACCACCATCCACATCATTTGTTTGGAGCCGCGATTGCTCTTCTTTTTTTTCCATCTCCGCTTTCCTTCTGGCCCTCAAGCATCCCTCGGTCAGCACAGATGGGATGGAGAATGAGGGATGCTTCGCCAGTGACATCATTAGCACCAATTAAATTCTCTGACCAAAAATTAAGACCAAGAAAACAATCCGTGCTGCAGCCTCTAAATGCCAGATCTCCATTTGCTCACAGCACTGCAGGAACAAGCAGGGCACTTAATAGCCAGCTGCTAAGTCATCAGGTATAAATATTTACAGAGCCCCACTGCAGCATGGACATTCCTCCAGATGTGAGAGGATCCTGGTATTTCGTGGCATTTTCACCTTATACAAAAGAATCCAGCTTTAGACACACGCCGCCTCATCAGCCATAAAACTACAGAAATAGAATTTTATGGAGGATGTACGCATGCAACACCCGTCCACAGCCATTCCCTCCCTTTTCTTCCTACTGTCATTGTCAAATATCTCTGTGTCTGTGTCACTGCCAAATATCTATGTCTCTGTGCATCCCAATAAGACATCACAAAGCAAACCCAGACCTGCCCATCTGATACATACACAGGCAGCACCCTGCAGAGGGCAAGTAATTGCAGAGAGCGGTACAGAGGGATTCAATGAAGGGTGATGGGGTGGAATTAAGCAAAGGGAAATCCCTCTCTAATAGCAAAATACTGTCTCAGCCCTCCAGGAGAAGGGATTACTGCTGAAGATATCTCACACCCTGAAAATCCTCACAGTAGAATCATTAAGGTTGGAGAAGACCCCTAAGATCACCAAGTCCAACCATCAGTTCATCACCCCCGTGCCCAATAAAGCACAATTCACCAGTGGCTTCAGGGAGTTTTCCTTGATGGGGAAACAAGGTCTGGGACATGGGGATGCCTCAGCCTCCTCGAAGCCACCAAAAAGGTTCTGGAGCTTTCCCAACTTTTCTCCCCAGGCGCCTATATTCAACTAGGTTGTAGGCACTTGGTTATCTCCCGTTATCTCTGCTCTCCCTCTCCACACACCGATTGCATTCCTCCCACAGCAGTCGTTAGTGCAGGGTTTGGATTGGTGAGCCCACTGCTGTCAGAATGTTGAGATTTCATCCCTTTTATGCACTCGGAAACTTCCCCCCTTCACCCGTGGCGTGAAACGATCACAGCCTGGAACCAGGATCCAGGAAACATGGCAAGTTTTCAATGAAAATCGCATAGGTCGGCTTACTAAAAATAATAAAAGGTGCCGATTTCGTGCTGGAAATGGAACAGAAGTTCTCTTGCAGTATGCCTGACTGCCTCCTTTTACTGATTCCAGACGCCAGGCCAGGCAGGCTCTGGCTATTTTCACTACCGTGTTATCACTCCGCAATATGTCAGCAAATTCTTGTACAAACATGATTTTTTT